ATCAGAAAATCAAAGTCATGAAATTATAAAATGATTATAAATATCATAAAAAAAATAAAAGATAATTACAAATTTGAGTTAAAAAAATAAGAAAACTAAAGATTTAGGTAAAAGCTGCTTTAAATAAAAGGGTCTTCAGCTGTGTTTTAAAGGCTTCCAGACAGATTTTTACTAAGGCCTAGTCCACACGTAGCCGGGTTTTTTAAAAACGAATATATGTCCCTCCAAAAACTTGCATCCACACCACCTCGTTTTAAAAAAGAAACTCTGTCCACACGTACCTGGATAAATACGTTGCTAAGGACATGCCAGACCTGTAGGCGGCAGTACTTCCCCCGTTCTTAACCTCGTCCTTCGTCAGTGGTCTTCCGCAAGGAGCAGTAATTCCGCTTGCAAAAACAAACAAGCACAAAGCGCTTGGACAACTGATAAAGCGAGCGCAGCTCTGAGGGCATCCATGCTGTTGGCTAGTGTAAACACAGGTCGCACACGTGATGTCAGCATTTTTTTGTCGCGGAAAGTGACGTTGTGGACCTTAAAACTCCGGTTTTGTCTGTCCACACACAGACACCCAAAACGGAGAAAACGCAGATCTTCACTTTGGCCGGAGTTTTTAAAAAGATACGTTTTCGTGTGAAAAAACTCCGTTTTCGTGTGGATGACAGGCCAAAACGTAGAAAAATATCTACGTTTTGGCAGATCCCCGGCTACGTGTGGACAGGGCCTAAGTCTTTGGCCATATAGGATGTTGTTCCTGTCCACTACCAGGATTAAAGCCATGAAAAACACACCGTTGCACTTCTAGAATGATACTGGGAGTAAACGAGCCGTTGGGTCACTTTCATTGACGTAATCTACATAGATATGAAATCGCATAGCTGAAATAGTCTTTTATTTAGAAAATCACTGGAGGTTTTCCTCTAAAAACTAATATGATTTCCTTTCAAGCTCTAGGTTAGTTGCATAAATTGACATGTCCCAGAAGCGGCACGCAGCAACAAAAGAACTCGATCCTTTTTTTAGCGATGCGGTGAGCCGCTTCTGCGTCTCGCCTGAAAATTTCCGCGTCACGGCTGGTTTGAATCTCCCCCATGAACTCTAATAGATTCTATGTGCCGTTCCGCGCCGCTGGCGCTTCCAGTGTGAAGCAGTGTTGGCGCTGTCCTAAAACAGTTGTTTTCCAATATTTCATATTAGTTCATGTCACAGTTTTGCATAAACTTTTAAACTGACGCCAACTTTGCATTACGTAATTACAAACGTGAAAATCATTGGTAGTTTACAAGCATAAACATCACCAGCAGCAAAATGGGACACGTTCGGTGGATCAATGGGTGAAGACTAATTGGATTTTTTTTAAAGTTCTGCTAAATTAGCATTGCACTGCTGAAATGATAATGGTGTTATGTTTATGTGATAAAATTTAGACTATATTACGATAACATTTTCAAAGATTGAAGATTTAATTTAAAATAATAAATAAGATAAAAGCTGTGCTCTGACTAGCATTTAGCTAAGCTGTGCTGCTAGCCATAAACTGGAGGCCGTTCAGGAAACTTTCTACAATAAGGTGAGACATACCAATTCTAGCTTTTACCAGACAAAAGTACAAAAATTAAATCAATGTGAGCTAAATAAGTCAGGAACATTTTCTCCCTGCTAGAAATATCCACATATGTTACATTTGTCTCACATACACTTGTGTTGTTTTGAGCCATGTTTTGCTGTTTAGGATTTTATATTTATCACAAGCAGACCGAGTGAATTCCAGCATTCTCTTTCTTTGTGGCTACCCAGATTCTAAGTAACCGGGGCAACAAAAAAAAAAGGGTGCTGTACATCCTCCTGACCCAGCCCTGCAAATGAGAGGGTGCTGTGCAGCAGTGGCTGCACCTAATTGCTGCCAAACAGCTGCAAACACGTAGGGTTACAGCAAAGGGGCCCAGCCACACCGCCGGGACTGGGGACAAGCCCGGCAGTGTGAGGAGGCGACAGGCAGCCCGCTGTGTTCCGTGTTACCCACAGCTCCCTCCTACACCACGAGCACCCCTCCCTGCAACCCGGTGCTCCTGCTGCCTCATCAAGTTCTCCAGATGAAATTGCAGGGTGGCAAGGGAATCAAGTCTGTAAATACGGCCGTACTGACTATGAAATGTCGTGGTCCCCATGTTCAGCTGGCTGAGACTTTGGGGAGGGAGATTAGTCTGCTTAGATCCATGCAGTGTGACAGCTGCTGAACTCCGGTCCAAGACAGCAAGGAAGACGAGAAGAAAACTGCAACTTTCAGATAAGCAAGTAAAAGTATACAAAAGTATACAAGGACCTTATAGAAGTTGTGAGGAAACACAAAGCATTCACTTTTTAACATAGTTTAAAACCAAAGATTGTGGTGTAAATTGTATTTTCAAGCATTTTAACACAAACATTTACCAGATGTAGGAAGACTTTGAATATTTTCTCCCTGTTTGGATAGTGATTTACCAACATTTTGACTACACAACTCTAAAAATCTTAATTGATCGAATGACAACTAAAATATTTTGTGCATGTAATTTTTTTTTACTCACTATGATTCCTAAAGTATTTATTGGTAAATTTGTTGGTGTGTTGCATATTATTAGCAGTGTAGCTGTGCCAAAACTGTAGTTGTTTTAAAGGACACGATATTTTCAAGATTGTTTGGTATAATTTTGAAATCTGACTGAATCAAAGACTCAGTTGTTTTGAATTTGTGGAACTGTGAAGAAATCCCAAACCACTATATTTACAGCCATGCTTCACAAATTATTATTAAATGTATCATATCTGCACCAAACAAACCTGATTTGCAGAGACTGTAACTTTCTTTTCTCTTTTCACGTGTCTGAGCAGAACCTCCCTGAACCGTCTACAGGTGGTTCAGAAGGCCCGTGCTCAGCTTCTGACCAAGTCCTCCAAACACACCCACATCACCCCGCTTCTCCTCCAGCTTCACTGGCTGCCAGTCAACTTCAGGGTTCATTTCAAGATCCTGGTTCTGGTCTATAGGGCCTTACATGGGCAAGCACCGTCTTACATTGGTGATCTTCTTAGTCCCTACACCCCCAGCAGGTCCCTGAGGTCCAGTGATCAAAGCCTACTGGTTGTGCAGCACAACAGCCTAAAGACCAAAGGTGACAGATCATTTGCTGCTGTGGCCCCCAGACTCTGGAACTCTCTCCTCCTGAGCCTGAGATCAGTGGACTCAGTGGTCTCCTTCAAAAAGCAGCTGAAGACTCACTTGTTCAAGCTGGCTTTTGTATGACCTTCTTCAAACACTCTCTCTTTATTCTGCTCTCCCCACCTATTCCACCTTCCTCAGGATCCACTGATTTCCCTCTTTCCTGTTCACTCTCTCTCTTAACATTTTTTCTTTTAAATCCCAATAGCCTATTTTTGCTCATTTGAAATACATTTTTAAACATTTTCTAAATGCTTTTTTACATTTTTACATTTTTTTGTTTTTGTGAAGTGCCTCGTGATTTTTATCTTGAGAGGCGCTATAGAAATGATATTTTCTTCTTCTTTCTTCTTCTTCCGATTGCACCAATTCCACATTTTCCAAAACTGAGCATGAGTGCTTACATCTTTGTTACATTCTTTCTATGTTTCGTATCTGATACAATTTTTTTTCTAGTTTTTCACTATACACAGAGTAAATAGAGCTTGTTTTTACCTTTGCTGACATGTTTCGGCTTCCACTGTAGCCTCTGTCAGAGCACCACCGATGATGGTGGCTACTTCCGTTTCCAATCATCTACGGACAGCAGAGGACAGTATCGCCCCCTGCTGCTTGTGCCTTCTTCCTTAATCTCCATGTCACGTGATTGGTCCAGTATGTATACTGAAAATATGTCCCGTACTAACAATGAAATGTCATGATCATGTGATCAACGGGAAGATGCAGTGGAAGCCAAAACACGTCAGTAAAGGTAAAAACAAGCTCTATTTACTCTGTGTATAGTGAACAACCAGAAAAAATGGAATGAGTACTTACAGTTGAGTACTTGTCAATACTGAGATTTTATTCATATTGTATTAAAGCTGCAATGGTCTCCAGTAGGAACAAATGCCCTGCAAGTCATTCTCTGGGGAAAAAAAGCTCCAGTGAGGCTGTTTCAGCACACAGAATTCAGCCAGAGGAGAAAGTGGCTTCAGACGACAGGATTTGAAGTCTTATTTTGAATCAGACGAGATATTTTTATCACTTGGTCACACTAATGTAAAGTCCTTATGTTCATTCAAAAGAAAAGAGAATAACATTGTCAGATGTTTGTTTTAAAGGTCAAATTTACTCATATTTTCATATATTTGCAGTGGTCTCTAGTAGGAATAAATGATTTGTAAGTCGTTCTCTGGGGGAAAAAAAGCTCAGCTGCTCCTGTTTGAGGTCATAGAATTGAGCAGGAGAAGAAAGTGGCAGAAGATGGCGATTTAGACTCTTATTTCCTGATATTTGGACAACTGCTGATTGGCTAACAGCAATGCAACTGTACCATTGACTACGTTTGGTTTGCAACATTGATGTTTTATCTCCACAAATAACACAAGCCTGAAAGAGTACTGTCATGTTGTGGAGTTGCTAATGCTAATGGTTAGCTTCTACTAGCTGAGACATTCTCTGTTGTTTCCTGGACGCTAAACCAATAGCAGTCTTCCCCTTTGTGAGTCAAGATGGGTGAGTCCATGAACGTTAAGTGACGGTGTGATGTAGATCTGTCAGGCTTTTCAGAACTGAGCGTTTTTCCATCTACTTCCTGTCAGAAGTTCATTCAGGAGATAGGGGTAGGACGCTATTTTCACATTCAGCCTGTTAAACTCAGTGACTGATCCTTTTCAAAAATAATAAGTAAAAATCGGTTTCTCAGTAAACCTGCTCTTTAACACATGAAGTTGCTTCTTTAAATGTATTGTATTCATCAATAGGGTCAGTGTCTGCTTGTCCTTTTTGTTCGGTCTGACTGAGGTGTTGTCCCACTTACCTGCCTGTTCCTCTCATCCACAATCCTGGTGATTTGTATCTTCTTCCGGCCCATGGCTGAGTCCTTTCCGGTTTTCAGACACGTCAACAAACTCAAAGCAGCACACGTTCTTCTCCCACTCTTCTAGTACATTGTGCAACTGTCTTTTGTGTGTGTGTGTGTGTGTGTGTGTGTATGTGTGTGTGCTCTCTTTCAATTTTCTCAGTACAATCTTTGCTCTTCAGGCAGACCTCACCGCAATCTGCAAAGGAAAAAGAGAAAAGAGAGAGAGAAAAAAATAAAATAAAACGTTAACTTGACACTCAACAATGTCTCTCTAAGTATTTTAAAGCACCGGAGGGCTCTGTGTTCTGTTCTCAGGCACATTCAGAAAGTGTGAGACCCACATGCTATTTTCTTTTGTACTGCTGTACTTGACCCTGAGCTGAAGTCAGTAGAAGTCGGGTTGAAATTTTGCGCAGAGAGCCAAGCTCCAAAAGTGTTACTTAATAAATGAGTCATTCTAAAGCTTTAAACTTTAGCTTCTATTCATCGTCACAAAACTGTGGTAAAACCTTTAAACCATTTTATCTGATTTTTTTATTGTTTGAGCAGAAAGTTTGGGAATGGGATCAATGCTTGAATAAAAGTAGTACCAAGATTTCAAAAATATACAATCTCATGTTTGGTGACACAAGGTATGGTGAATCTGTAGAGCAAGTAAAAGCAAACATGATCTTAGTTATGTGATAGACTCCTTCTTGACTGAATGCAGAATCATTCAGAATCATCTTCCAGTAAATATTATAATAATTTATTTTAACTAACAGACTTGTTTGCTATCTTTTATTACATTTGAGAAACGTTTAATAGTGATCAACTGTAAGTTTGTTTGATTAAAAGCCAGATGAAGTTTTCTCGGTTGGAGGAGAATTCAGGAGTGAAGAAAACCATGGGTTTGTTCTCACAGGAGAAGACCTGACCAGTAGTTACGACCACGATGCACCCCAGGGACCATCTAACAATGCCCCATCTCTGCTCCTGCGCAAAAAGAGATATGGTCCCCTCCCTCGAGGCACATCCATCACTTACACTTGGCAAATAGAAACTGTCTAAACAACTGCATTTTCTTTCCCTCAGTATGAGAATAAATGTAGAAAGGTTAACAACTCAGGCTATTAGATGCAGTCAGCATTTGCGCGGTGAGGCAGAGAGGGGCTGAATTGGCAGCAAAATCGAAAATGACCAGTTTCAGTCACACATGGTCATTATGGGTTACAGATGAACTGGCATTATGGTGTCTGGACGTCTGAATCGGGGCTCCACTGTGGGCAAACCTGACTTAGATCACCTTGCTAACTACCCACACGGAGTCAGGAAAGTAACTGCCCTGAACTCCCACAAAGGTTATACCAAACCACATCACAACAAGCCTGGGAGAAGGACGATGGTCTAGTCCGTTCTTCATTTCAAACACAAAGACACACTCAGAAGAAGCACGTGTTAGTTCCTCTAGAAGCATCACACAGATGCCCTGAGCTTTTATTTGGGGTCAAACAGCAAACAACTATGAATGCAACACTAAAGTTTCTTAATGGTAAAATCCCTGTTTCAAAGTTTCAATATTTTACCAAAAATCTTGTTTGTTTTTCTAAAATTTGGACCCGAAATCCCGCCACACAAAATTCATGTAATTCCCTTAGGTTCCCTAAAAACCTGACTCACCATGCGTGCTGTAAATCTTTAAATGTGGAAAAAGAGATTAAAAGGAAGAAATCTGCTTTGGGTTAATCATCACTTAAGGTTGGTCAGAACACAGAAAAGTGAGGTTTTTGTGTGAGAACTACATGTGCAGCAACTAAAGTAACGACTTGTGCCACTTAAACACTTCCCGTTTAGAGAGAAATCAGGCACGATCGAGACACTTCTCCACATACGCGCGCATGCACTTTCCTCCCTGTCTTTATGCAGAACAGCTGTCAGAGCAGGACAGTTCAAATCTAGAGGCATAGCAGATTGTGCAATGACAGTTCTCATGCACAGATACAACATGACAGGCTGAGAGGGCCTTCAGACTGCAGGTGTGCCTCGTGTCTACACTCATCAAAAGCTTTCAGAACCTAAAACAGGTTGCAAATATTACAACTTCAGGTTTAAACACCAGAACGCCGATGTTGGCGCAAATTTATGATTCTAGATAAAAAATAATCATATTTTGACTATGTGCATTTAGAATACAACAGAGAGAGATGAGTATTGCATCACCATTTAATTACAATAACTAAAACAGCGACTTCTGCTCTATATTTAAATAAAAACTGAAATCCTAAAGTCTTCAAATTTTAGTCCATTTTTGATCCATATTCTCCTGATCTCAGGGTGGGCTTCCGCCCGATTCTTTGGTTTCTCCTCACACACAGCTTGTTGGGTTAAACTGTGACTCTAAATAGATGTCAGGTGTGTGCGTGATTGTCTGTCTCTTTGCGTTGGCCCTTCGATGAACCGGAACTCAGTCAAGGACTGTGTGCTGAGCCTTTCACCTGATGTTCACCTAAACTTAGCTCCAGCTCTCCGTGACTCCATAGCAGCAAGTTCCAGGTACTTTGAATTTGCTGCACCTACTGAAGTGATGGTTAGCTTTTGATGCATTTACATTTGTACATTATACAGCAGAATGTCTAAACACTAAAGGACCTTGATAAGATACAGTACACCTGACCCACTTTGATATAGACCAGTCCAGCACTTCTGAAAGATGCTTACCAAACATTTGTAACACATAAATCAATGTGCAAAGAATATGTCACCATAGAAACAGCCACGTCAGCTTGACAGAGAGTCAATAAGACATGACTAACACAAGTTCACGCAGCTTAGAATGTGCTCCACAAGTAACTTGCCAAAGAGTCCAAATCCATGATGAGGTTTACGATGAGTCAGGTGACAGGGATGCTAGTTTGCCTTCTCCTCTGTCCTTAGCATGGACCACAGAGACACGAGGACACTTGGTAACAGGCCTGCCGCCTCACAATCAATAAAACATGCTCAATTCCCAGAGTAATTACTGAATTGAGCCCATTCTGCTACCTCTCAGTTGGTAAGCCTGTGTTAGCGCCAGCAAATGTTAAAGTATTACTCCCTGAACTGCTGCCCTATATTGAATGCATCATAAAACGATGTTCTGTGCTTTTGTGACGAGGTTTACCTTATGAACAAAAATGGGGGCAGAGTAATTTTGTGAAACTGTAAGGGTATACCTGCTATTAAAGTGGACCTTTTTCAGTCAATAGCTTAAAAAGGTAAAGAATTAAAAGCCTTGCATCACCTACAGGGAATCGTATCTCCAACCACTTTTAATTTCAGAGTTCAGGGCTTAGAACTTCTCATGGGGGTGTTTGGTCAAATCTTGAAAATAACTGCACTATCTCATCCAATGTCATTAAAAAAAACATCCAGGAGATCTAGGAGTGTGTGACTCTTAAGCCTGGATCACACTAGGGTTGTCACGGTAACCGGTATAGCGGTAAACCCCGGTAAAAAAGTTGACAATAAAAATAACCGTCCAGTTTTTAAAAAACTAAATTATCTCGGTGGGTTTACCGTGGCCGCGGTTTCGGCGCGGTGACCCTTACCAGCCACCGTCGCTTCAGCTGAGGTTCCCGCAGCGCGCACTTTTTAGTTTGCAACGGCACCAAAACTTTGAAGCTGAAATAATGGCCGAAGGAGGAGACGGCAGCGCCCAGGACATCCATCAGCCCTCAGAGAAGACTAAATCGGAAGTTTGGGCATATTTTGGATTTCTGAAAAATGCTGAGGGACAGTTAATAGAAGACGGCTATCCCGTTTGCAGAACGTGCAGGAAACAAGTGTCTGCAAAAGGCAGCAACACTTCGAATCTAATGGCACATCTGCGTGACCATCACCCACGTCTCCACAGCCAGTGCAAGGTAAGTTAACATTAGCATTTTAGCTTAAATGCATGACGTGAGGACTTTTGGTTGAGAGAGAATGCAACGAGTCACTATATACTGCAGCCGCAGCGCCCTCTGCCAGCATTTAAACCGTGTCACGGACACCCTGTTGCTGGATGAAGCATCTTATTTGTTGATGATGAAGAGAAATATACAATTAGTTCCTTGTCATTGATTTGTTTACTTATTCAATGCCATTTATACTTGAACGTTTGGATTTGATTACATAGTGTAGTAGTTATTTTAGTAATTTGTTTAAAGTGGCTATTTATTTTAAATACATATTTTTTAAGGTTGACTTGTACAGTGCTCAAGTCAAGTGTGGACTGGAGTTTTAGATTTTCATTTTGATAATGAAGAAAACAAGTATATGAGAAAACAAGTGGTGTTTCTTTGATTTGTTTACATATTGTTTATGTTTCGAATGTTTGGATTTGTATAATTTAAACCTGCACAGACTATTGTAACATGTTCCAGAAAAAGAAGCTATTTGTTCCTTTACTTGTGAAAAGTTGCACTTTTGCTAAGGATTTGTGTTATTTTAGGTTTAATAAACACTGTTAAACTATTTCAGTTTGTGTAGAACAGGACTATCAATGCTTTCTGAACATATGCAACACCGTTTAAAAAATACCGCGATAATACCGAAAACCGTGATAATTTTGGTCACAATAACCGTGAGGTTAAATTTTCATACCGTGACAACCCTAGATCACACTATGCGATTTGCGGCCATCACACAGGATTGTTTGTGTCACACTGCGAGAACTCCCGAAAGGTGGCACACTGTATGATTCAAGACTTCAGACTGCACGACGTTTCTCTCCAGCAGGACTCGCTAAGTCATGAGTGCACCTCCCGAAAGCATACATCCATAAGTAGATTGCTAACCAAAACAAAGCTGAAAAGACAAAAACACTTATTTTTAGTGTCAGTTCATGACCCAGCTCATCTTCCTCAAAGAGGAAGCATAATTTTCAAAACCCTCGCTTTGGCGTCAAACTCCGGCTGCGGGTCTTCTTTTCCCATCTTCCAGCTAAACAGCTGAGCTGTCAGCAGGTCATTCATCCTTCTCATCCTCCTTTATACACAAAAACCCACTAAACTACAGAGAGGTAACAATCTATCACAGATCGCTGCAATATCAAAACTTTTGCCGTGAATTCTTTCTCACTGCTCCACAAATATGCACCACGTTAACAGCTCACACCCTCTGTCCCTCTGCAACAAAACGCTACTGAACCGAGTCAGAAGTTGTAGGTTTTCAAGCATACTTGTGGACTGTCAGAGG